AAGACCCCAGACACTACTCACCAAGGTAGAATGTAGAGCATTGTCTTTATAAGCTGTGTCATGCCAATTGAGCTAGATGTTCCCCAAGACCATTTTCCTCTTTATTTTGATGAGTAGGTTTGTTAGCTTTCTTTGTGTTTACCGTGAAATTTACCCTTATCTTTCTAAGTTTGAATCAGTCTATTATTATTTGGTATCTCCTTGCCTTCCTCTCCATTAGAAGGTTCTGTAACTATACCATTTATTCCCTCTTTTATTGTTCCTATGTTACTGTCATTTACAGATTAACTGCTCTGATTTCCTGTCGTGTTTCTTTTGGTTTTGGATAGTCCTTGAGAGTTCATTTCCTAGGTTGGTATCTTGCTAGTACAATCCTGTGTCCTAGATTCAGCCTGTGAGCTGATGTTTTTGTTCTCAGATTGAAGGACTCCCTTTAATAATTTTTGTAAGTTTCATTTGGTTTTTACATATTCCCTTAATTTCTATTTTTCTGGAAATGTCCTAATTTCACCATCATATTTGAACAACAAATATCCTTGGCTGGCAATTTTTTTCTTTCAAGGTTTTATATGTGCCATCCCACTGCCTTCTTGCCTGCATAGTTTCTGCTGAATAATTCGAGCCTAGTTGTATTGTTTCTCCTCTGTACGTGACTTTTTTTTTTTTCCCTCAAGCTGCTCTCAGGGTTCTTTGTTTGTCTTTGGTTATGATTTGTCTTTGTGATTATGATATGTCTTGGTGATTTTCTTTTGGGGTCTATCATATATGGAGTTCATTGAGCTTCTTGGATGGACAGCTTTTCATCTTTCATGACATTGTGGACGTTTTCTGTCAGCAATTCTTCAATGATCCTCTCTGTGTTTTCTGTTTTCTCTCCCTGTTCTGGAACTCCGATCACTTGCAAATTTTTGCTTTTGATAGTATCCCACATAATTCTCAAGGTCTCTTCATTTTCTTCGTTCTTTTTTTCTGAGCTGTCCTCAGAGTTGTATGCAAGTGTTTGCCTTCAATTTTGCTCATCTTGTCTTCCACCATTTCAAACCTGCTTCTTAGCCCTTTTATGACACTGTCCATTTCTGAAATCTTGTTGTTTATTTTTTGAATTTCTAATTGTTGTTTTTGTATGATTTTTAGTTGTGAATTTATCGTATTTTGTTCCTGCATTATTTTCTTAAATTTTTCCATTTTTTGTCTGTATTTTCCATGAATTTGTCTGCCTTTTTCATGAATTTGTCTATTTTTTCCCCATTTTTGTCTGCTTTTTGCTTCAACTCTGGATAGCTCTGAATATTAGAGATTTGAATTCCCATGAGGTAGTTCTAGTGCCTTTTATTCTACTGGAAAGTCATCTGGTGTTTTATTTTGGATGACTTCTGGAACCATCTTGCCCTGGAACTATCCTGCCCTGTTTTTGTAAATGTTTTGATATTGTCTGCTGTCTTTGGGGCATTCAGTAGTTATTTTCCTCGCTTATTGACTGTAGATTTGTTCGTTTCATCCTGATTTTTAATTTTATTTGGCTATATCTGAGCAGGTGGGCTGCATGTTCTTTGTTGTTTGCTCATCTGTGGGCACAATACTCCAATAGGCAAGGTCAGTCGCTCAGATGTGGTACTGCTGGTCTAGCTGAAGAAGAGTTGCTGGGATGGGTTGTTTGTGGTACTTACTATGGCCACCAAGGCGGGCCAGTAATCAGTGCAGGGCAGGATCCAGTAGGCCGTTCCTGGGCTGCTTGGTGGTGTGATGTTCAGTGCACAGTGAAGGTAGGCAGGACGGAGGGGGAGATTGTGATGTGTGGAGCCAAGATGGGTATGGGAGAGAGGAGAGGGAGGAGAGAGGAATAGGAGCCAAAAACATACAAACAAACAAGACTAGTAGGGGAGCTTGTCATTGGAATGGAGAGATGAGAGAGTATGAAATGAGAAAAGCAAAAAGGAGAAGAAGAAGAAAAAAAAAAAGAAAAAATGAATAAATAAAATTAGAAAGAAAAAGAAAAGAAAAGTTCCCAGGGATCCCACCGGTGTATCTTCAAGGTCCCGGGAAGTTGCTCCCAGGCCATGAAGTACAGCCGGGCTAGAAGGAGTAGAGATGTCACTCAAGGCCAGGTGTTCAGGGGACAGGAATATAGGGAAAGCATGGAGAGATGAGAAACTGAGTAATGAAGAAAGACAGAAGGAGAAAAAGAGGGAAAACAAACAAACAAATAAAAAAAGAACAAGAAAACCCCCCAAAAAACTAGGGGAAAAAACCTCAAATAACAAGAAAAAAAAAATGCCCTCAGGGATCCCTCCATGAGTCTCCGCAAGCTGAGGGGCTAGGTCCCAATTCGAAAAAATAAAATAAGATAAACAAACAAACCAACAATTCAAAACAAACAAACAAAATCCCCGGTATCCCACCAGTGTGGCAGCATGGACAGGGAAGCAGTTTCACATTCGAGCTGCGTTTCACAACCTTTCAGGAAGAAGCAAAGATGGTGCATGGAGCCAGGTATTTGATAGAAAGGAGGGGGTGGTGGTGACAGGTAAAGAAGAAATCTAAAGAAGCGAAAACAAGCAACACCAGCAGCTAACAAATGGCACTTAGGGAGCTGGCCAGTGCGGGTGGGTGGAATCCAAGCAACACCAGGGTGAAGCTGGTGCTTTCTGGCCAAGAGACTGTGGCCACAGGAAGCAGAGGAGGCTGAGTGGGGTTGAAGAAGGGTGGGAGGTGGGAAATCATATATCGCTGGTTACCGGTTGTTCTGTCTCCTGCTAGAAGCTCCATGAAGCTGCTTTCTGGTACCCACTGTTTGCTGATCTCTGATAGGAGTCCAAGATGGCGGGTCTGTGCTGCGTTAGCTGATAGAGGACCTCTACATGTATCTCTCTTTGCTCTCTGTTCTCTGTCAGTTTCTTATTCCATTCGGTGCTTGGCTGAGTTCCTTATCTCTTCATTTGATGCCTAGGGTTTCAGGATTTCTGTTTTCTCTGTTTGGCTTAGTTTTTCAGATCTTTGCTGTGGAGGGACGGTGTGGTGCTTCTGCCTCTAGCTCTATGTTGCCAGGCTGTGTCGCTCCACCAAGTTTTTTGAAACACAAGTTCTCACAGTTATAAAATTTGTCCAAAGAGTATATGAAAAATGTGTCAACACAAATGAAAATAGATTTTGCCTTGATGCTGTATGTCAAGGATAATTTTTTTTCTGGATGGGCTTTTATTATGATTAGTTAATGCCAACTGTGTATGTCGTGTTCTGTGGTTAAGCTTGTGTGGCACATGGCACTCTTTCTCAGGCATTGTGGGGCATCTAAGGGAGAAAACTTTTTAACTGTCATTCAAAACTCATAATAGGAAAAACACACACACATATATAATACAAGGCAGAACATCATGAATTTTATGAGAGGTTTGAAGAGTTATGGGAACGCTGAGAGAAGAGATAAACTCTGTTTGAAGGGACTTGCACTGCCCCCCTTGCACTCCTTTAAATGGTTTACTATCAATTAGAATAAAGTATTCCTAATGTCTATCAGTACATTTTATTTTCACACGATTTTACCTTTAAACCATTTTGGTAAAAGAAACATTCAAATATGACATGGTTGTTAAATGGGTGTTAGGTATGTCATAAATAATACAGTTGGCAAATAAAAGTTAACCTTGGTGTCATTTTAGGACTTAAAGGAGAACGTGGGGATCAAGGAACAAATGGGGTTCCCGGATATCCAGGGAAACCTGGAGAACAAGGTAGAGTATAAAATATAAATATATCTATTGTGTACAGTCATGCATGCAGTATGATACTTATTTTTCCTCTTGTTTGTATTTAGAAGTTATCAAGAGGTAAGACGAAAATCTTAATTACTATTATTTTTCTAATAATTCAATGTGATGAATAGCTGCAGTGTAAACAGCACTGTTCTGGAGTTTGGAGACCAGATAAAAATGTATGAGCTTTCCTTCTCCCTCTATTTGTTCTTGGGGAAGAAGATCCCTGAATCTTTCTTGTCTCAGTTTTTATTTTTGCCTGCAAGATTTTGAGTTTGGAGAATAACTGAGCTGGGCCAAAATGCAAAGGTAATGAAATACAATGGGTAACTATGGTTCTAATAGTCTTAAAAGTAAAAAAAAAAAAAAAAACTAGATATATGAATTTTAAATATAGGCTATTATTTCTCAGCATCATTAACTTTACCTCTTGTGTAAACATTATATAAATTGCTCAGTGTAAGAGCCTAGTAAACAAACCAACCAACCAAAAAAACCTTTGCCATTGAGTCAATTCCAACTTATGGTGACCCCATGTGTTACAGAGTAGAACTGCACTCCATGGGGTTTTCTTGGCTATAATCTTTATGGAAGCAGATTGCAAGGCCTTTCTTCCTCCGTGCCTCTGGACAGATTTGAACTGCCAACCTTTTGATTTGTAGTTGAGCACAAACCCTTTGCACCACCAAGGGACCTAAGAGCCTCCTTGGCCCAGTCATTACTGAGGCAGAACTAGATTTCTAAGTCCCAGGTAGATTTTGTTTTTATTTTTTGAGTTCTGCAGCAAAAACATGTTGTGTATACCCTATGTGATCGTTAAACATCATTTTAATTTTCTATTTCAGGTAGACTTGGTTCTAAGGAAGATAAAGGAAACACTGGACTGGCGGGAATGAAAGGACAAAAAGGCTCCAAGGGGGATGCATGTGTGAATGGTACCAAAGGAGATAAAGGAGAGCGAGGGGCGGAGGGTTCACCAGGCTTAAATGGAGAGTCTGGGGCCAAGGGTGAGAAGGGGGAGATAGGGGAAAAGGGCTACTGTGGAGATTCTGGGGAGAGAGGAGAAAAAGGACAAAAAGGCAAGGAGGGCATGAAAGGACAAAAAGGTAGCAAAGGAGACATTGGAATGGAAGGCAAAAGTGGCCCAGATGGCCTGCCTGGGGCCAAAGGTGAGCCAGGGGTTAAAGGAGCAAAGGGGGAACTAGGTCCTCCTGGCCTTCTGGGACCTGCTGGGCCAAAGGGCGAGCTTGGGAGTAAAGGAGTCCGAGGATCTATTGGGAAGAAGGGGTCCCGGGGCCTTAAAGGCTCCAAGGGCGAGGTGGCTGGAGTTACTCGGTCGGCTTTCAGTGCCGCTTTATCAAAGCCCTTCCCTCCTCCCAACATTCCTATCAAATTTGACAAGGTTTTCTATAATGACCAAGGAAATTACAGTCCTGTCACCGGTAAATTTAGCTGTAGTGTTCCTGGAGCATATGTATTTTCCTACCACATCACCGTGAGAGGCCGCCCTGCTCGGATCAGCCTGGTGGCCCAGAATAAGAAGCAGTTCAAGTCCAGAGAAACTCTTTATGGTCAAGAAATAGATCAAGTCTCTCTCCTCGTCATCCTGAAATTAAGTGCAGGGGACCAAGTCTGGCTGGAAGTTTCAAAAGACTGGAATGGGGTGTATGTCAGTCCTGAGGATGACAGCATTTTTACTGGGTTCCTTTTGTACCCAGAGGAGCGTCCTGGGATTTAACCATAAATTTGAGTTTTGAGTACGGTAGTTTGGATTTGGTGGAATATGTCAGGTAACATAGAGTAGTGCTATTATTTTTGTCATGATTACAAAATTAATACAGAAAAAATAAAAAAAACATTTATCACCCAGAGCACATTACAATTCATATTTTAAGGCATTGCCTTTAAAAAATAATTTATTTGTATTTGAAAGCATGTGTGTATTAGTTTTATAGGTGGATTTTTTTTTAATTGTACTTTAGATGAAGGTTTACAGAGCAAATTAGTTTCTCATTAAACAATTAATACACATATTGTTTTGTGACATTGGTTGCCAACCTCATGACATGTCAATTGTAGGTAGATTTTTTTCCATTTATCATTATAATGGCATTTCTCATGCCATTTAAATAATATGTGCATACAAAAATATGAATGAGATTTGTGGTTAATGAACATTTGTTACTAAATGCCTTCCCTAGCTCCTAAAAATGTGTGTAACTCCTTTCTGTGTGAATGTGAAGCTAGGAGCTGACATACTATGATGGACAGGCATTTCTCTAAAGTTTCTGATTCTATTGGGAGGCTTACCTTTCAACAAAATGCAACTATTCAAGTTAGTTTAATTTAGGGAGAATACACCTACGTAGTGTTAAACACTAGCTAAAACATCTTTAAAATTTATCAGTGTGTGTTTGTCGAGTGTGTAAGTGTCTTACACAGACTCGTGTATTGGGTAAAATGTAAAAAGAAAGTTGGTAAAGACATTGCTCAATCACAGCAAAGATCCAGCCAGTCATCAAATCACTGTGCTTATAATGTCCCTGAAAGATTCAAGAATAAACTTAAATCATTATTGATCTAAAATTTCACTCCTTTCTTCATGACAGAACACTTGATTAGGATAACTTCTTTGGCTTCATTATCATGGCCTCTAAAATAATTACTTTCAGTTATTAAGTGTTAACACTGCTAGAGAAGCTGGGAATTTTGGAATTCACTTACAGTGTAAATGTTTAATAACTCTGTTATATTTAATAATTCAGTGGCTTTGTTTTTTAAAAAGCAAATTGACTGTATCCAAATTCAATTTGCTTCAATGAAGGCACATAGTTAGGAATATTTACAAGTCAAGCCAGGGAGTGGGTGATGGGGAACTTCCTGGTCTTGCTCTGCAAACTTTAATAAACATCATTCATCTTTGAGAGTCTCATCCATATATTAGAACCGTGTTTCCCAAACTGTGTTCAGAGAAGAACCATTTCTAGAAGTTGTTATGAGTTACTGGAAAAAATAGTGAGTTCCGTGTTCAAACAAAAGTTTGAAATGTCATATTTTATATCTTCCTCTTGAAAATTTATAAAGCACATTAGTGTAGTCTCTAATGTTTCCATGGAAAATAAATTTGTTTTTTGTTTTATCCAATGATTCTAATTTTATTTTGGGTATAGAGCTCACTAATTAACATTCTTTGGAACAGGATTTTATAGGCTACACCAATTTTGGAAATGTTATATTAGTTTTCTATCCAAGGATCACCCAGCAGGCTGAGGTAAAGTTAATTACAATCTAGTACGCCTGACATTTCTCCCTTTTTTCAGCAGTTTTTCACTGCTTAGATTTTAATATTGCTTTAGTTGTGACTGTGCTTGTATTTGTCAGAGGGAGAATAAGATTATTTGTAAGTGATTAAAAAATATTTGCAAGCAGAATTTTCTTTCTTTTCCATCTGAGGATTGTATAGTGAAGAGATTCAAGAACTTAGAGTTTGTCTGTTTGTATGTATATTCGTATAGATGCATTTGTTTTTTCTCTATGTCTTCTTCATTGGGTTGGAGGGATTTGGGGAGACTGAGAATAGACTAACGTAGGAAGATGGAAGAGAAAACCACAGAAAAAATGTGATGTGAAAGGCAACTGGGCAGAAAACCAGTTAGGGAGAAACAACTCATATGTAGAATATATGATACTTAGTAGTGTCATACACATGTGTTTGTGTTAGGCATTTTATATGAAGTCTGAAGTTAAGAGCTTGGGGTTAGGACCCAGGATTGGTGGTTAACTATGAGCATTATTCCAAGGATTCCAAACCAGGGAAGTAGTCAGACTTTGAGAATGACTTTGGGAGGGTGAGTTCTAGGTTCTTTACACCATCCTCTGCTAGGAGGGTCCACCACACATCTGTCAGTTTGTCACACTGTGGTGGCTTGAGTGTTGCTGTGGTAATGGAAGTTTGCCACTGGTATTTCAAATACCAGCAGGATCATCCTTGGTGGACAGGTTTCAGCAGAGCTTCCAGACTAGGAAGAAAGACTTGGAAGTCTACTTCTGAAAAAACTGGCTGGTGAAAACCTTATGAATAGCAGCAGATCATTGATACTGTGCCACAAGATGAGCCCCTCAGGCTGGAAGGCACTCAGAATAAGACTGGGGAAGAAGTGCCACCTCAAAGTAGAGTTGACCTTAATGACGTGGATGGAGTCAAGCTTTCAGGACCTTCATTTTCTGATGTGGCAAGACTCGAAATGAAAAGAAACAGCTGCAAACATCCACTAATAATCAGAATGTGGAAAGTATGGAGTATTAAGTTAGGAAAATTGAAAATCACCAGAAATGTAATGGAATGCATAAAGATCAATATCCTAGTCATCAGTGAGCTGAAACGGACTGGTACAGACCATTTTGAATCAGACAATCATATGGTCTACTATACCGGGAATGACAAATTGAAGAGGAATGGCACCGCGTTCATCGTCAAAAAGAACATTTCAAGATCTGTTGTGAAGCACAATGCTGTCAGTGATAGGATAATATCCATGGGCCTACAAGGAAGACCAGTTAATTGGACTATTTTTTGAATTTAAGCACCAACCACTAATGTCAAAGATGAGGAAATTGAAGATTTTTACCAACTTCTGCAGTCTGAAATTGATCAAACATGAAATCAAGATGCATTGATAATTACTGGTGATCGGAATGCAAAAGTTGGAAACAAATACAAAGGATCAATAGTTAGAAAATATGCCCTTGATGATAGAAATGAATGGCGGAGATCTCATGAAAGAATTTTGCAAGACCAACAGCTTTTTCATTGAAAATACCTTTTTCAACAACATAAACAGGATTGTACACGTGGACCTCATGGGATGGAAAATGCAAGAATCAAATGGACTACATTTGTGGAAAGAGACGATGGAAAAGCTCAGTATCATCTGTCAAAACAAGGCCAAGGCTGACTGCAGAACAGACCATCAATTGCTCATATACAAGTTCAAGTTGAAGCTAAAAAAAATTAAAACACGTCCACGAGAGCCAAAATACAACCTTGAGTATATTCCACCTGAATTTGGAGACCATCTCAAGAATAGATTTGGTACATTGAACACTAATGACCAAAAAGACTAGACAAGTTATGGGATGACATCAAGGACATCATACATGAAAAAAGCAAAAGGTCATTAAAAAGTTATGAAAGAAAGAAAAGACCAAAATGTATGTCAGAAAAAACTCTGAAACCTGCTCTTGAACATGGAGTAGCTAAAGCAAATGGAAGAAATGATGAAGTAAAAGAGCTGAACAGAAGATTTCAAAGGACAGCTTGAGAAGACAAAGTAAAGCGTTATAATGAAATGTGCAAAGACTTGGAGTTAGAGAACAAAAAAGGGAGAACACGCTTGGCATTTCTTAAGCTGAAAGAAATGAGGAAAAAATTCAAGCCTTGAGTTGCAATTTTGAAAGATTCTATGGGTAAAATATTGAACGGCACAGGAAACTTCAAAAGAAGATGGAAATAATACACCGAATCACTGTACTAAAAGGAACTGGTAGAAGTTCAACCATTTCAGGAGATAGGATATGATCAATTACTGATGGTATTGAAGGAAGAAATCCAAGCTGCACTGAAGGCATTGGCAAAAAGCAAGCCTCCAGGAATTGACAGAATACCAACTGAGATGTTTCAACAAATGGAGGTAGTACTGGCGGTACTCACTTGTCTAAGCCAAGAAATTTGGAAGACAGCTACCTGGCCAACCAACTGGAAAAAATCCATATTTTTGCCCATTCCAAAGAAAGGTGATCCAACAGACTGTGGAAATTATCGAAAAATATCATTAATATCACACACAAGTAAAATTCGGCTGATGATCTTTCAGAAGCAGTTGCAGCAGTGCATCAACAGGGAACTCCCAGAAATTCAAGCCAGATTCAGAAGACAACATGGAACAAGGGATATAATTGCTGATGCCAGATGTTTACCTGTGGTTTACTGACTATGCAAAGGCATTCAACTGTGTGGATCATAACAAATTATGGATAACATAATAGGAATTATGTTATAACATAATGGGAATTCCAGAGCACTTAATTGTGCTAATGTGGAACCTGTACATAGATCAAGAGGCAGTCATTTGAACAGAGCAAGGGGGATACTGTATGGTTTAAAATCAAGAAAGGTGTGCTTCAGGGTTGTATCCTTTCACCATACTTACTGAATCAGTATGCTGAGCAAATAATCCAGGTAGCTGGGCTATATGAAGAACGTGGCATCAGGATTGGTAGAAGACTCATTAACAACCTGCAGTATGCAGATGACACAACCATGCTTGCTGAAAGCGAAGAGGACTTGAAGCACTGATGAAGATCAAAGACTACAGCCTTTAGTATGGGTTATACCTCAACATGAAGAAAATAAAAATCCTCACAACTAGACCAATAAGCAACATCATGGTAAGTGGAGAAGTGATCGATACTGTCAAGAATTTCATTTTACTTGGATCCACAATCAATGCCCATGGAAGCAGCAGTCAGGAAATGAAATGTAGTCTTGGATTGGGCAAATCTGCTGCAAAAGACCTCTTTAAAGTGTTAAAAAGCAAAGATATCACTTTGGGTACTAAGATGTACCTGATGCAAGCCATGATATTTTCAATCGCCTCCTGTGCATATGCTGGACAATGAATAAGGAAGACCAAAGAAGAATTGATGGATTTGAATTATGGTGCTGGCAAAGAATATTGA